AATTTAATCAAGAAACTTATGTGGAGAGATGGAATTTCCTGCTGTGTAACTGGGAGATGCCCATTTGACTCATTTCTTACTCTGATCCCAGAGTAAAGACAAAATAAATCCCATGGGAAGTGGGGCAGATATGGAGGGTAAGAAAGAGAATGAACCATGCACAAGACTGAGACTCGTTGGTTCAGAAGACAAATTGTCAAAGTTACCTGGAGAAGAGATGTCATTCAAAAGATAAAGAACTTCCTAATACCGAGGCTGGAACTGACTGTGTCAAGACAGCCAGGTTAGAGTCTTAGCCCCATCTTTTCTTTTATTTCATTCTCCAGTTTTAGCGAGCATGGGTCATGGAGAGATCCAGAGATGCAAACCCAGGTCCTTTCCCACGTGGGTCCAGTTGTGCAACCACTGTGCCTCTGTCTGGTCTTGTGTGCAGATTCTTGACTGCATGTGCATGTTTGGGGACAGAATTCTCTTGCACACCAAGACACAGGGGACTCCTAAGAAGCTCGTGACTCTGGAATCCTAAATTGTCTTCAGGCAGCTGGGAGAGGCACGCTAGTCTCCTATATCTCCTCCACCCCCTGCAATAACAACAAGCCCTTGAGCTTCAGGTGAGTGGGGGTGAGGAAGCTGAACCAGATGAGGAGACTGAATACAAATCTAGATTAAATTCTGGAGGAAATATTGCACCTGCTACTGGGATGCAATTTACTCTTGGCCAACAGCAGGTGTCTTAAGTCCTCTTGCTGAGTTTCTGGTCTGGACACTTGAGGGTCAGCCACCACTGCTGAGTCTAGGGGTTCCATTAGACCACCTGGGAGCTTGTTAAAAGGACAGATATCCCAGTCTACCTCCTAGCTACTGAGATTCTTGAATTACAGGCTGATTTTGATAGTAGAGATCCATGGGCCAAACACTGACCATGTCCCAGGGAAATGTGAGCAATGGGATTGGTAGAGGATGCTATAGGCCCAGAGGCAGCATTGCTTTCCTTTCGGACATTCCTGGAAAGGAACGAGGGCAGCCAAGGATTCCAGAGCATGAAATAATGGACATGTAGACATTTACAGTCTCAAAAACCATAAACTCTCACTAGTAATTAAAGAATCTTCTTGTTTTAAGAGGGAGATTTTTGGTATAGAGCATGTGCGGTCACCAGAAAGACAGAGACAGAAAGCAAGAAATGACCCCCAAGAGAGGATGGTCATGCTACAATCTCTTCTCCTCCATTCTCCTCTAGGGATCTTGGACACACACTCACACACACACACACACACACACACATGCCCGGCATGAGTTTTTTAAGCTACCAGGTCTAGGATTCAAACCGTTGTCGATCATGTGGGAGTCCAACAACATAACCATTATGCCATTCTATTATCTTAGAAAAATAGAATGTGTTAGTAGTAAAACATAGTGGTCAAAGAATCACTCTTGTTCAGTCTGGCTTTACATGGTAGCTAAATAACTGATGATGAGGTATTTATCCTCTCTGAATTTATTTCCTTACTCATTAAATGGGCATCCTGTTAAGTAGAATATAATGTTTCCATGAAATATTGTGACATATAAATGAACATTTAAAAGTATGGTGCAGGGCTGGCCATGTAGTGCAGTGGTTAAGTGCTGTGGATTCCACATGGCCAACTGCAGTTTGGGTCCCAGCCTGGGCAACTCAAGAAACATGCAAAAGTGTGTGCACAAAATAAATAAATAGGGCCACCACCATAGTCTAGTGGTTAAGAGAGCCAGATTCCATGTGGCTGATCACAGTTTGAATCCTGGCCCTGGCTACTTGAAAAACATGCCCATGTGTGCCCCAAATCCTAACAAAATGGAGAAAAGGAGGAAAAGGGACTACAGCATGATCATTCCCCATGGAGGGGTGTGTGTTTTCCTCCCGCTCTGCATCAGCATCACTCTGTTTCTCTTTGATGAGCATGCATGCCCTCTGGTAATTAAAAATAAATCAGTAAGTAAATAAGTAAGTAAATAAGACACAGTGCAGTAGACTAAATGTGTCTCCAAAATTTGCATGTTGAAATTAATCCCTGATGTGACGGTATTTGGAGATGGGGCCTTTGGGAGATGATTAGGTCGTGAGCATGAGCCCGGTGTCCTCATGAATGGGATTAGTTATCTTGTAAAAAAGACCCTGGAGAGTTCCCTTGGCCCTTCCACCAAATGAGACTGCAGCCAGAAGGCGCTGTCTTTGAACCAGGAAGCAGACCCTCGCTGGATGCCAAACCTGCTGGTGCCATGATTTAGGACTTCCTAGCCTTCAAAACGGTGAGAAACACATTTCTATTGTTCCTCAGCCACCCAGTGAGGTATTCTGTTAGAGCAGCCCCCAGCAGACTAAGACACATGGCTTTGAGCCTGGTGTATTAGCAAGCGCCAGGAGTTCTCATTATCATGAACAGGGCCTCAGAATCTCAGAGCTAAAAGCAATCCTAAAGATCATCTAGTGAACCCAATGGCCATCCAGTGCCACCCAGCAGGAGAGGAATCCAGAAAGGAAGAAGACAAAGGGTGGGCTGTTGCTCCCCTGTTCAGCATCCTCTCTCCTCCAGGGAGCCTAGCTCCCTTGCCCAGCCAAGGGGAGGGGCACTTTAGCCATCCAGGCAGTTTGGAAGTCCAGCTCCTAGACTCTCCAAGCCTGAGAATGACAGATTCCTGCATTTACGGACGCTCACCCGCTCACCGCAGAGCTGGCAGTCCAGCTGTCAGCGGGCACCAGCAGGCTCTGCTGAGGAGAGCAGGGCTGTATATCCTCCCTCCCCCTGCCCTGGTGTTTAATCAAAACTGTATTCAAAATATGATTCTGGGAGATTATACGGAGAGATTTGCAGGAAGCTGGGGTGGGGGCAAAGATGATGGAAACAGATTGCGGCTGAGGACTGAGGCTGAGATAATCGCCAGCTCAGATGTGCCATTCTCAGGCCCCCTCGCCTGCACCCCTGGCGCTTCCCAGCAGCTCTGGAGGAGACCCCAGGCACTGGAATAGAAAGCTAGATCATCCCTGTATTTTTTTAAAAAAGAATTATTTTATTTATCTTTATTTATTTATTTTAATTAGACCAGAGGTGGGAAGAGAGAGAGAAAGAGAGAGAGAGAGAGAAAGTAAGCCGCTAGGTTCAGGACTTGAACCATGCTCGGCCATGTGGGAGTCCAGCACTCTTAATCACCATGCCACCTGCCGGCCCTGATCATCCCTATATTTTACAGCTGGGGAACTGTTATAAAAGGGGAAAGGTTTGCTCAAGCCACAGATCAATAGGAATGCAGTGGGGAAGGTAAAGTGGGATCCAGGCCCCTATTCAGCCCTTCTCACACCCCATTATCTCCAGTCAACTAACCCTGGATCTTTGGGACAACCCAAGGCTGCAGATCCTTGCTTGGGCTGGGAAAGGTGGAGAGAGGCTAATAATCCTCGTGGTCAAGACCTTGTTCCTGGAGCTAGGGATCCACCTCCTGGGCTTCTGGGTGGGAAGGTGGGTGCAACCCAGGAGGGCCTCCTCCCCTGTGTCCACTGTTCTAGGAGAGGCTCAAAGGCCAGAAGCAGAGGGAAGCCTCCGCCTCTTCCAAGGTCTCAGGAGGGGTCTACCTGGCCCCCTAAGAGGGGGTGGGGTCGAGGGCGCCTTGAAAGAAACCTCCAGCTAATGCTCTTTATTACAAGCGTTAATCCCGCAAAGCCGACTGGAAATAATGTTTATCTTTTCGCAGTTTAATTTTCCGGACCCTAAGCCGCGGGTCAGCGAGGGCGACTGGAGTGTCCCGGGGGAGGCTGGGGGTGGGAGCAGCTGTTGCCCAGGAGCAAAACCGGAGCTGGGAGGGGGTCTCCCCAAGGAAGGAGGCGGGGCGGAAGGGGACTCTGGAACCTGAAAGGGGCATTGGACCCTGAGCAGAAGAGAGGGACAAGCACCGCCAAGGGCCAGCGTGACCCTGAGCCGGTCCCCTGTGCTCTGGTTTGTGCTCGGTTTCCTCATCTGACGGGGAGGTTGATGATTGGAATTCATGATCTCTAAAGTCCCATCAGAATCTGAAGGAGTCTTTTCTATTAAAAAAAAAAAAAAAGGTGGGATGGGGCTGGGAAATGGCGAGCTGCCTCTGTCTCTGTCAGTATTTCCAGCCCCCACCTTTCCCCTCCGCAGCCTGCCAGAGTATTAAAATCTCCTGACAAGGAGGCGGGCCCTTCTCGCCTAAGGCGCCAGTGGGCAGGGACAAGCAATGGAGATTCAGCTCCCCAGAGTCAGGCTGCAGGTGCACATACTAGCTGCCTTCCCTCCAGCCTTCCCATCTCCATCAGCTCCTCTGAGCTCCCGTCTACATGGCTGATCTGGGTCCCTTTTAACTCTCAGCAGCGACGTGCTCATTCTCTGGTTAAAGCCAAAGCCACTAGACCCGACGGTGCGAGGGCATTTTTAAATCTCACCCTCAGTCCACCCAGCACTGCCCTCAAGGGGGACAAAGCCCCTTTTCTTGCGGATCAGTACCTACTAGTTAGCCTGAACCGGAAGTGGTTGCTGACACTTTTGATTAAACAGAAACAATGCCTTCTTATTGACCAGGCATGCTGCCAGATTCTCAACTCCATTAGATGGGAGATTCTCAACTCCGTTAGAAGGGAGCGTCATGTCTCCAGCACCCATTGGGGAACTGTCAAGAAGATCTGCATCACTCCTTCTCCCAATAAACTAACAACCCAAGTAGGAACCCGGAAACAAATACAGCTTCCATGCAAATACGATGACACCTCTCCCCCTTCCCAGCACTTGAGTCTGGCTCCACAGACTGCTCAGCACAGTGTGTGAGGTCCGCTAAGTGGCAGGCATGGCAGCCAGGCTCCCTGTCAGTTTCCCTCCCTGGCTGTTAAAGGCACTAAGATCAGCAGCCCTCACTGCTGGATCTCCCAAACCCTTCACCACGTTCCACACCTCCCCTCCACCCGGACCTCTTCAAGAACCCCTGGCACAGATAGGCCACACAGTTTGGGTTTGGATTGATTCTTTTTAAGGACACAAGGGATGGGGGAGAAGAGAAGACACAGGTGGTCATTAGGGGCTGATGAGCAAAGAAGTTACAAAGTGAGGGGGGTGGAGGTGTGGGTGGGAGTGAGCAGGAGAGGAAGCAGCTTCAGGCCCTGAATCCGGAGAAGGAAATAGCCTTTGGAAGAGGCCATGAGGCGGGCAGACCACTGAGCTTCCCTCCTGGCTTTCCCCAGGGTGCCCTGCCACCTCTCCCAGATCTGATAAGTTACATGTCTGCCCTCCGCCCCCAGTTCTGCGTGCAAAGACGGCAGCGAGGAGGGTTTCTGTGTGTCTATCCTTGGGCAAGTGAGAGTTCCTGGTCCCTGGAAAGGTTATAGCAATTTCTTAGCGTAGAGGTGAGTTCGAAGTGTGGGGCCATTTCCAAGATTCTTCTGCAAATCGCAGCCATTGCGCTAACCTGCTGAGAGAGGAAAGGTTGATTAAAACCCGAAGGCCAATTCATGGAGATTACTAAGAAATTGGAGGTCAGCCATGTCTCCTCCAAAGGGGAGCAAAGGTCTAATGGCAATTTGCTAGCCAGAGGTAACGTTTGGACCCATTATGTGTAAATTCAAATAATAGTGTAACCCAATTTTCTGAGCCAGTAGCTAATCCTGAGAGAAATTACTACAAAGAGCAGAATCGGACAGTAATTGCTGCAGGCTGCCTAATGCGTGGGGAATATCCCCTTGTGGGGTGAAATTCCCTTCCACCAGGCACTTAGCACAGGGAAGGAACCAGCTAGGGGCAGGGGACACTGATTGGCAGTCTCGCCCAGCTTGGTAATGAGCTCTTGGGGGTGAGTGCTGGACTTGGAACAGCATGAACCCTGAGCTTCCAAGTTGTTGATAGCTGGGGCATAGCTACAGTCCCCAGGGGGTTCTAGTGAGCCCCAGAGTACCAGAAACCTAACCTAAGCACTGACTTGAAACTTCTCGCTCATCCAGCCAGACTTCTCTGAAAGCCTGGTGCCTGCCCAGCACTAAGGGACCCTCGGAACCCGCACAGCAGGGAGCAAACTGGCCTCCTCTGAAGGGCAAGCAGGTGACAAAGACACCTGAGCTGGAGGGGCATTGCGCCCACCTGGTGCACCTGGCAGAACCCTAGAGGACAACGCAGAGAGGTAGGCTGTCTATCTCTTCCATGACTTCCTAAGCGGTCATAGGTAAATGGCTGTCTGCCTCTGCGTTTATTACTATGGCTTGGCCTTAAGATGAAGGGGGACTAAAACCTGGTCTTGAAACTTCTGCTGGAAGAGCTGCTGTGGGACAAGGTCGGACCAGGTTTGAATCTGGGCATGCGGGTGAGGGACAATGAGTGTGCAATGGTAGAGTGTGTCTTTTGGACAGACACCCCCAGCACTCTTGGGGGCCCACTACCTTCTGCTCCGGATGGGTACTGGCATTGCACCGCAGGCTCCCTCCGCCGCGGGCATGGCGCACAGTTCAGCGACAGCCCCTGGAGGGCAAACGCGGGGTTCCCAAAGGCCTTGGCTATGCGGGAAGATTCATCATACGCGGAGTCTCTGGGGACCGCGGGGCGCCCTGCAGAGCCAGGAGGCTGTCCGGGAATCAAGTGGCACTCGGGACTTCCTGGCCTGGGCCGGGCTGCAGGTACACTTTCCCCAGCGCTGGCCGCAGCAGTGTGCGCCAGGGACCAGATGCGCGGTTTCTCCCCGCCAGGATAGTGCACCGTCAACGTGGGGCCGCCTGGCTCCGCCAAGAGGAAGTCAGCTTCTTCCGACCCCCGGGGCTCATTAAAGGAGAAGTGGGGCGTCACCAGGCCGCACTCCCTGCGCTCCAATCGGCCCTCTAGCGCGGCCGCACAGGGCACAGACAGCGCCTGGACACCCTTGTGGAACTCCGCCAGCCGGTCCGCGGCTGTGACCACTGCCTCTTCATCGGCTTCCTCCTCCTCCTCCTCCTCTCCTTCTTCCAGGTCTTCCAGGTCACTCAACCGGAGCCCTCGAGCCTCCTGGCTAGCAGTAATGTCTGCAGGAAATAAAGAGCGAGTGAGAAAAGCCCCAGGCCCCAAGGGAAATCTCTGCGGGAGTGCCCATCCCTGAGAAGCTTTTAGCAAGACGCTCCCTGCACTCAGGGCATTTTCGGTGTAATTCGCCAGATCTGCCCCACCACCCCTTCCACTAGCCAAAGAGCTGGC